TGTACGTTAAATTTAAAGAAAAATAAATAATTTTATATTTTTATATAAAATTTCTAAACTTTACAAAGAAAATTTCATTTTATAAAAAATCATTTTACCCAAAATTAATGTATTACACAATATACTATAAAAGTAATTCGAAAAACTCTTTATAAGGTAAAGTAAGACTTTAATTCCTAAATGGCAAATATTATTTTATTCGTTTGATTATGTGCCTTTTTTTAAATTTTAAAATTATCCCATTTAAAATGTAATTTTAAAAAAAATCAACAAACAATAATTTTTTCTTTTTACTATTATATATCTTATCATTTTGCACATATCAAAATAAATAAATAAAATATATCAATTACCTTTTAAAAATAATTTTATCATCTATTTTGATTAAATATATCCCTAAAACTATTTGCGTGGAGAAGTATAAACAATTTATATTTTAGCATTGAAACTCAGAGATCACAATGCGTACACACAATAACATAAAATGAGAGTTTGAAGAGGGAAGAGTTTTTATTTATGAACCGATGATTTCGTGCCACATAAACCTTTTCCCACTTGGATGCCTTATAGTCTTCCTCGATCTGATCGTTTCTTTTCTTCCATTGTTGTATTTATTTTGTTTCCCTTTCCTAATACATGGAGTAAAAGCTAAGAAAACAAATTTATAAACGTCTAGGCTCTCTCTCTCTTTATCTTTTTTCCTCTCTTTGTTGTTTGCCAGTAATGGCAGTGTGTACCACTTAGCTCGGTGCAAGAAAAGAGGGTTTAAGAGCTTTCATCGGGAAGGTAAAGCTTTGCACCAGTAATGGCTTAATAGTTGAGCCATGAAAATTTGAAGCATTTTTTCTTTATTTTTTCCCTCTGCATACCCCGCGTGCGTTCTGCAGTGAAATCCTTACCGAAACACAGCTTTTTTTCCTCTCTTTTTCTTGTCTTCCAAATAAGTGCAAAAGAAGCTGAGAATTAATGCTCTTCTGTTAATGACTAGGAAGATAAACAAACACAACAAACTCCCATTTTCCAAAGGAAATCTGAGCTGGCTTTGCCAGAAATTAAACCCACAGAGAGTAGAATCCCACTTTTCCTATGCAAAAAGCCTGTTTCTTTGTAGCATAAATCTCGGGAGAGTTCTTGTGATATAAACAATATTTAGGGCAAAAAAAGAGAATAGATTGCGTAGGAAAGAGAAACCAACAAGAGAGAGAATGGGTTCTGTTGTTATATAGTGAAGCCCCTAAGTGGACAACTAGGAGAAGAAAGAAAGAAGAAAAAAAGGAAGATAAGATAGTGAGACTGAGAGAGATAATGGAAGGTGGTTCCAATAGCACTTCTTGCATAATGGCTTTTGGACACGATAGTAATGAACTGTGTCCTATGACGATGATGCATAATCATCATCCCATGACTTCTAATCCCCATCATCATCATCATAATACAGACTCAGGATCCTTATTTCTTCCTCTACCCCCTGCTAACAATCAAGGCCAGAATCACAATAGCTGCAGTGGTTCCTCTATGATCCTAGACGATCATAACAGCAACAGAAACAATACTGGATGTTGTATCATGGAGAGCAGCGACGGCAGCACTTCTATCAAGGCCAAGATTATGGCTCATCCTCACTTCCATCGTCTCTTGGCAGCTTATGTCAATTGCCAAAAGGTGAAAACTGATCCATTTTCTCATTTGTGAATGTGTTATATTTTTCTAGCGGAAGTAGTATTAACTTAACGAAACCAAGCAGGTCGGAGCGCCGCCTGAAGTGGTAGCGAAGTTGGAAGGGGCATGCGAGTCCGCCGCCGCTGTGGGTCCTTCTAGGACCTTCTGCATAGGTGAGGATCCGGCACTTGACCAGTTCATGGAGGCTTATTGTGAGATGCTGACTAAATACGAGCAAGAACTCTCTAAACCCTTCAAGGAAGCCATGCTTCTCCTCCAAAGGGTCGAGTGTCAGTTCAAAGCCCTCACAGTTTCCTCTGCAATTTCTGGTGATAATTCTCTCCATCTCCATCTCCATCTCCCCTCTCTCTGTCTTTCACCACCCAAAATTGATTATTTCCAGTATTATATTTTAAAACAGCATGCATGTCTATGGATCTTGGGATATGTAACATTAAATAATTAACAACATAATTTATGTATATTTCCATTTTCTTTTGTCATCTTCCTCTCTTTTCTTGAAGTGAAGCAAACATCTGGGGTAACTAACTAAACTACTACCTAGTTTGGTTGCTAAGCCTTCCAAAAATGGAACAAGTGATGAACCAAACAATGGGGATATATGTTGCAGCTTGCTTCTTGCTAGGGCTAGCCTACATAATATTGAGATGTGAAGGTACTGTAATGCTTATTTAACTGAAATATATTGTTCAGATGAGGATTTAGGGTTTGATCAAACTAGGGTTACAGATGGATTAGAGGGTGAAGGGAATTATATCCCTAAATTTGGGTGTTAAATTGGACTGCAATTGCAAGTAGGTAAGGGACTTAGTCTCATTGAGAGTAGTGAGCATATATTTGGAATTCTCTATAGGCTGAATTCCTTATTGATACAATTTAGTTTCTGTCTACAGTTTCTAGCCCTTTATAGTCGTGGTCCTAGTTTTCATGCATCATGCAGCAGCTTCAATTTTACATGACTTAATGTTTTATTCATGGCCATATCGTTAGGATCCCAAGCTGAGTGTTCTTTTCAGTTTAGCAACCTATAACCTATGGGAGTTAGAGCATTAGAATTAATGTTTGTACATTGTCATTGCCATATTCGAGTTTAGGTTGCTATCATCCTATATCATATGATGATCCCGGTTTCAAGATACCGAGTTTAGGTTGGTAGGTGTACCTCCACAAAGCATAATTTCCCCTCCCTTTTGTGTATGTTTTTGAAAAAAAAGGAATTTAATGCCTCTTAACTATTGTTTGAACCTTCATATTGATTGATTCAAATTGTTGTACTTGTATTGTTTATCATCATGGCTTAATTTTCCTGCATAACACACATTGCAGGCTACATTATCTCCCAAGAATTCTCATGTTCTTAAGGCCTCTCAAGTCTTCACGTATGTGGGTGTGTATGTGTTTAAATTGCTTACTAATTCATTTATATTCAGCTTGTGGAGAGGGTGTTGACAGGAACGTTTCATCCGAAGAAGACGTTGATGTGAACAACAATTTCATCGATCCCCTTGCTGAAGATCGAGAACTTAAAGGTCAGCTTTTGCGGAAATACAGCGGATATCTCGGTAATCTGAAACAGGAGTTTATGAAGAAGAGGAAGAAAGGGAAGTTGCCTAAGGAAGCCAGGCAACAGTTGCTGGATTGGTGGAGTAGGCATTACAAATGGCCTTACCCATCGGTAAGTAAACATTGCCAAACTTATTCATGCGACTATGTTATGCGTCTAACCCCGAAGTCCATTGACAGGAGTCTCAAAAACTTGCCTTGGCCGAGTCGACTGGTCTGGATCAGAAGCAGATAAACAACTGGTTCATTAATCAAAGGAAAAGGCACTGGAAACCATCTGAAGATATGCAGTTCGTCGTAATGGATGCGACACATCCGCACTATTATTTGGACAATGTTTTGGGCAATCCTTTCCCTATGGATCTCTCCCCCACCCTTCTCTAAAAGATCCTAAGTATTTGAGCCCTATATTGCCGCCTGCAGGAATCTTGAAGGTTACTGCATCTATATGCGGAAAAAAAAACTGTGATATAATGAATTAGGAACATAGTTCATGTTATATTATCCTATGCAATATGCATGCATACCTCGTGTATGTAGTTTCTGGCTATATTTATTCTATAACATGTATTTGATTTAAAGTTCCGACCTTTAGTCTGATATATATATATATATATATATATATAATTCTCCTTTTCAGGTCTTGAGTGTCTATATGCTATAGCATCTTGCTGCACGACACTTTATTGATGTCCCGTGATGCTGTCGATAAGCACGTTATATTGTTCTGATTCTTCATTTGCATTAGATATTTATGTTCTAGAATATAACTCTCAAATATTTACACTCCAGTTTAAGTATCATAACATACGAATATTTATCTGCTAATTATGTGTAACTGTGTAAGCAGTTATGCTGATTTCTGTAAGGAGTAGGGGGGCCTCTTGCTTTTCATGCTTATGGACTGAAGTTGGAGCAAGGGTGTAAATGTAAATAAATAATGAATTTGATGAATGTTAGAGGTATAATAATCCGAGATGATATAAATAAAAGTAAAATGAGAAATCTTATTAAATAATAAAAAAATAGTATAAAAACAAACACGTGATTAAAAACGAAACAACCAATTGAAAACAAGTTGAGTCGTGCAATTACATCGTTTTCTTAAAAATAAATTTTCGATCACTCCTTACAGCAAAATTGTACATTTGCGGCGTTTTTTACCTATAGCGGTGTTTTTAAGTGCCGCAAAAAACACCTGCGGCGTTATGACGCTGCAAATAGCGTCGCTAAAGTTCGCGGCGTTTGGTAACAAAAAACACCGCAATAGGTAACGATATATAGCGGCGTTTGTCCAACAAACGCCGCAATAGATGTTGATATTTGGCGGCATTTTTCCAGCAAACGCCGCAATAGGTGTTGATATTTAGCGGCGTTTTCCTACAAACGCCGCAATAGGTCTTGAGATTTAGCGGCGTTTTTTTCACAAACACCGCAAAAGATCTGGTATATAACGGCGTTTTTTAGAACAAACGCCACAAATGTCATATCTATAGTGGCGTTTTAATATACAAACGCTTTAATTACCTCTCTATAAGAAATTGATTTTGCAAATTAAAACTAATTTGTCAAATGTTGTTTTCTACTCTTTTATTACCCAAATTTAACCTGTAGCATTTTCCAATAAACTTGACATCCATAACAACAAACTTAAAATCTATAACAAGAAAAATGAAATCCATAATAATAAATTAAAGTTTACATTAACGTAAAATATAATGTAGTTCAACATTATTAACTATAATAAACAATAATATCTAAGATATTTTGTTTCTAATCTTACACATTCTTCAAAACTCTTCGTCACAATGAGGCGCTTAAATTCAAAGAGATAAATCCAGTTTATATGGGAAAACAATGATGCAGAGCTAGTATCGTCCTGTCATTTCTTGCACAGATATTTTGCTTCATAAGGTCTTACTCCAATTGGCATGCCACTTGAAAAGGCCCCATCCATGGCAATGCAAACCCGATCTCTAGTTTCATATCCAAATAAATCATCAGTTTATATGAAAATCCATTATATCTTACGTTAAAAAAGTTAACAACACATTTCTGCATGGTCAGTCCCAACAGTCAACAACTCTATGGCATGGGCAACCTTCATGATGATAAGCAAAATATAGAGATAGATCTTAATAATTGTCCAGAAACATCCAAGCTTTCATAATTTTATTAAGCTATAAAACCACATTAGTCTGTCAGACACATACCACGATATCTAGCCAACCCACAGCAAGTGTTGATGACATAACTTCCCAGTATTTGGGATTATTCTCCACAACCTACATTCAACAAACTGATTAAATAACACCATCTTAGATGAATACAAAAGATTACAAATCAGTCAAACAACTCACAAGCATAAACTCTAGAACTGTGTTAGTATCATACAAAGAAGTTAACTTCATAAGGAAAATAGAAGGTTAATTATTTCAGGACCTGCAAGTTTACAAGTTCTTTTTGAAAATCAACAAGCTTTGCGTGCACTGTTGGGTATGTTCCTAAGAAAAGGCTGTCGTATCACACTTTTTTCTAGTATTCAGAAGCTGTGAAACAACTTCAGATGGTGTAATTAAGTCCCGATTTTGGAGCAACAAATTAACTGCTTGTTTACAATCTACAATCATCAACGGGACAACCTGCACCATACACATAGTATTTATGGTATTAAAATTCATTGTTAATAAAGTAAATAAACGAAAATTTAAGGCATCATCCTGAATAGGTTCAAACAACAAGCAACGAAGATATCTTTTTCCTACTCTACTATTTTTCTCAATGAAAGACAAGTTTAATCTTCAAGAAGAAAGAAAAATATAAAGAATCGGAAGAAACCTAGGTTTCGCTATGACAACATCCTTTGGTGATACAATATAGTATATTGGTTCATCACCGGCAGCCCACTGTCCACCGGCATAACTGCTGCCTACATTCATATGAGAAGAGCACTATAACTATTCACTGAAATTCTGTCTAATAACCAATAACTTCAAGAACGGAGATATCAACCTGAGAAGGGAGCATGTGCCAAGGAATAATCCATTGCTTTGTAGTGCTCAAAGCCATGTACTGGTAGGGCATCAGTTGCCAATTCATCATTGTTCCAAGACACAATGCGAACCTCTGGTCTCTGTGCATTTCCCTGCTACAGTAGATTATGCATAGGCAATGAGAATTATAAGTTTATAACAACAGCGGTTTATTAAACTCCTGAGAAAACATTATTAGCTAATGCATTCGATTCTACAATCCACTCCACCAACTATTAAACTCAGGATCAATAGAACGTATATAGAAGCATAAGCAGCCTATTGAAAAAAGAATTCCAAATTAGATTTCTTTATATAAGTACAACCTAAAAGTTCAAAGCAGAGCAACAATGTAGAGTAGTTATAGTAACCATTGCCGTGGCTTCTGTCAAGAATGGAGTCACACCATAAAGATAAATTGGTAAACTTGCAGGAACAGAAACAGATAATGCACTAATGATAGCACAAAAAGCCTCAAAATAGGGGGTGTACACCATGACAAGGAACTTAGCTTTTTTCAGAACTGTAAAGGACGCATACCTGTCTTGAAGGTATTGTGCAACTAAATTCCTTTTCTCCATCTTCTTCACCAAGAATATAGGCTAGAACAACCAAAGAATCACCAAAAGGAGCAATTCCTGATATGTAACAGCTAGTCTGAAATGATGCCAAAATATTTACAGTGTAAGGTCCAAGCAAATCCATAACAATAACATTATAATCTCCCTCTACTCCAAACCATCTTATATTTAGAATCCCGGCTGCCAAGAAAAAGGATAAGTGATATGAAATACAAAGAACGGTCAAAGGTTGAAACAAGAGCTATATTGTCTAAGAAGAAAAAAGAAACTGTAAGTATCATTACTTCCTCCCTGCAGGATTCTGTATAACTTCGATTCATATAACAATTGAGGATGCTTTGTCTTCACGTTCTCCTGATCATTAAAGAAAAAAGTCGTCCACTTCCTTATGTAACATAAAGAATTTAATATGGAATAAAAGAACTACAACAAAAGAGAAAACTATTATTAAATTTAAAATAAGCAAGCTTTGTTTTATAGAATGCCAAAGCTTTTAACTAATAAAATCAAAACAATGATTCAAGCATAAAATAAAATTATTAATTATGTATTTATGTCAGCCAGATTGAAAGATAACTCTAAAAAGCTTATTAAGTATCACTGATTGATTAAAAGAATTCTAACGATGTGTCGGGAGAGTAATGAGAATAACATATATACAATGGTAAATAGGTAATCAAAGTTGTAACGTAAGTAACCCCCTTTAACCATATTTATCTCAGGAGATAACCACCCAAAGCATCTTCTTCTTGTCTGCTATGATGCCAGCCAACAATTAGAAAATGAGAAATTTACATTTACGAACGAATTCAATCCTCCTTGGGGTAATATACGAAAATCCTACAAAGTTAAACTGTAACTAACAGTTTTCTTCTCTGTTTTCTCTCTTTTTTGTTAAGGGAGTAGCCCACAAACTATGATCATCGTTAATTTAATGTGAATCAAAAACTATAACAAAAATAACACCAAGTGAAGTGAAAAACCAAAAAAGTAATCCAACATGTCAAGGGCTCTAAACATTTGCTTTGCTATATAATACTTTACCAGAATATTATAATTTTATCCATCATGGTACATTTTAACCTCAACTACATACTTCTACAGTTTATTGCTTCAATATAACCTATGACCATAGTGCATTTCTAAGTTATAAACGATCAAGTTAAAGCAAGAAATCTAATGAGCATTCACTCGGATTAAAACCTAGCCAGAATATCAACTACATTGTTGTTTATAGAATGCTAATATGCAATAAACTGAACAAATAAAAAAGAAGTGAATTTGCAAAGGCTACTTACAAGCTTAATGGCAACCTCTTCATTTGTCAGAATATTCGTACCTGCAAATATAAAATACTCCTATATATCAACCTATATTCAAAATCATACCCAAAAACAGGGGTAGGGGATTATGCAACAAACCCAAACAGATCCCTCCAAAAGAGCCGCTACCGATCTTACGACCAAGTCGAAACTTATTACCGACACGAGGCTCCATCAATTCCAAGCCCTAACTAAAACTTGAAACCTTAATTCGGAAAACTTTCCCCAAACAAAGGAGGAAAATATATGGAGACACTATACAGTAAACACCCAGTCAACCGCTCCTACAATTCAAACACAGAAAATTTTAATCACGTAAAAGAATTTCAAAAATTCAACAAAAGAAGAAGAAGAATATAAAAGATCTAACTTTCCGTCTTTGTTTTAAGGCAAAAACAAATTACTATTATAATTAACAGAAAAGCTAGGGTTAGGTAAACGAAATAAACAAAACGGGGGAAGATAGCTAAGAAATCATAATTCTGTTTCCGCGAGTCGATGGAAACAGATAATTAGAATCATTTTCCATCTCCGAAAGGGTGGTTTGATATCTGACATTGAATTTCGCTGGGCTCCGTGGAATGGATTTTAGTCATCGACGCGACAATAGAAATGTCTGATTCACATCACACTCTCCTCGCTAATTTTGGAGTTTTTTTTCACCTTTTACCTTTTTTTCTTTACAGTATCATTGATTGATCTATTGTTTAAATATTTAAAAAAAATATTTTATTCTAATTTATTTTATCACGAAGTATACAAATAATTCGATTTTATACAGCACTATTTTGTTAAGTTCTTTACTTTATTAGAATTTATAAAATAATAATCTAATTATAAAATGTTGTTTTATAGTACGAGTATTTAGTGGTGTTTGTGCTTAAAACGCCACTAAAGTACATTATTTTGAGGCATTTATATAAAAACGCCACTATAGTACGAGTATTTAGCGGCGTTTGTATAAAAACGCCACTAAATCACGAGTTATAGCGGCGTTTGTTCTATAAACGACAGTAAATTACAGTCTTTCGTGGCGTTTGTATAAAAACGCCGCTAAAGTAAATTATTTAGCGGCGTTTGTATAAAAATGCCGCTATAGTACGAGTCTTTACTGGCGTTTGTTCTAGAAATGCCGCTACAAATGTCGCTATTAACCCATTTTGCTGTAATGACTCTTTGATGCTGGAGATCTTTGGTCGACTGTCTTCTAGGATTCAACAAGAGAGGATCAGCGTACAGTAGCACAACTGTCGAGATCACGATCCATTCTTTGTCTTTATCTATCACTAAAAACTAGAGAAAAGAATTCTTTTGAATTGATCTTTGAGTTGTTTTGAAACTTGTTTAACCTAGTAGGTCAGCTGGTATTTATAGGGAGTTCACATTATGAACAATTGGAAATTTTTGACCTGATGAAACATTAATGAGAATCAAACAATTAAACAATTTCCAAAATTAATGTTTTTGATTAAAGAAACCTTTTAATGTTTATCATTTAATTCCAAAACAGATTTTGAAAAGATATTCTCTATTTTTAGGAAAATATCTCACATTTCGGTTAAAATATCCGGAAGCCCACAAAGAGCTAGACCGGGTCGAACATTCATGTTACCCACATCATGCACGTATGCACATTTACGAACCAACAATTGGTTCCACATTTTCCTCAACAACGTTTGGATCAATTTCTCATTCAAAGCTCCAAAATTATCAAAAAAAAAAAATTAAACAATGAACTGTTCGTGAAACATTCGTATATTTGATGAATTGTTCGTGAATCGTTCACATAACGTTTGTTTATATTTTTTTATTAAGTTAAAAAAATGACTATAAACAAATATTTTATGTCCATTTAATTAACCAACAAAAATGTGTTTAACTCATTTATGTTCACGAACAAACTCGATGGTTGACTTGTTTATAAGTTCGTTTTTTGGTTCTCATTTTCGTTTTATTTTTCTCTCCATTTTAACCCGATAAAAGGCATAGACTAAATTGAATATAATATAAATCTTGAAGTTTAAAATGTAAGAGTTTAAGGATTAGAGACATAATTTCATTAATTTTCCTTTATTTTGCAAATAAAAGATAAAAAAGGTATGATTATCAAACATTAAATGAACATGTTCGTGAATATTAACTAACATTATATAAATATATTTATGAATGTCACACAATTAATTATGAACATGTTTAAAAATAAATAAATGATCATGATATTAAAAACACAAATAAAATATATACCTCTTTACAAATAAATGAATGACACAAATAACTTTATTTGGTTAAATCTGATTCGGTCACATCCGTAGCTAGAGCCCAGATGGCACTGATGGCGAAAGTGGAATCCCAATTAGCCTAGGCCCCATTTCGTAATGTTGTCTAAAAAGCAATTTTGATTTAAAAAAACTCGTTCTGACCACAAAACTAATATTAAATGAATAAAAATTGAAAAAATAAATATGTTAAAAATAATGCTTTCAAATCAACTGTAAAAACTAAAATTTTTAATTTTTTCATTTTAACTTTAGTTTTAGAATCAAATTTATTTTTATATTTACAATGTACGAGTTGAACTTAAATATTATTGAGTTTAATTTAATTTATAAAAGTTTAAAATTAAACTTGAGTAAAAAAAATTAAAACTAAAATCAATTCGATTTAAAAATTCATGAACTTAGAATTGTCAAATTTAATTCAAATAAAAAATTGAATCTTGACTCAAGTTTAAAAAGTTTGTACTCGAAATATTCTCAAACTTAATTCGATTAAAGCTTAAAATCGAATTTAAACCTGAATCTTAAATATATAAAAATCTTATATTTATATCTTATTTTATAAAAAACAAGATATAAATGATAATAATATGAAAAATCTATTTTTAAAGTTTTAATATACTATTTTTTAAAATTACTGGCAATTTTTCTAATCCGATATTAAATAACTCATTCCGACCCATTCAAAATTCAATTGAGCATAGGTTTATTTTTTAATCGGGTTTTAGCCTAATGGATCTCCAATAGCTAACCATCTATCTCTTCCACGAGGGGAACATAGGATTTGTCTTTAATTCTTCTAATCTCCATCAGTTTCACTTTTTGAAGATAAAGATTGAAACTTTCCTGTAAAAACTCTGACCCTCAATCCTTAGCTTCTTCCATGGAAAAACCTAGACCAGGGAACTCTGCTGCCAAGCCCAAACAATGGAAGAAGGACCTTGATTCTTACAGCATCAGAGGTACCAACAAAGTTGTCAGAGATACATGGTTTCTGGGAATTTTTTAATCTTGGCATTTCTCTTTTATCAATATGAAATTTTCAAATATGTTAAAAGAGTAACTTTGGTTTTGATGGTTAAGAAGCGAATGGTTCGTTGATTTGGTAATTGGATTTTGCTTGTTGATGGGTTTAATGGGATGCAAAGGCATTGGTGCAGAAAGATGCAAAGGCATCTATCTATGCATATTAACATTAATTAACGTGTACGGAATTAAGTGTGTATTAAAGGTGTACCGTAGATAGATGATTTGAGCAATGTAATTACTTTGTAATGGCTTAAGAGTGAAAGAATGATGTTTTTTCAGTTGGAGATTGTGTTTTGATGCGTCCTTTGGAGTTCCGACAATGGTAAGCCCCAGAATTGAGAAAATTGAATCAGACAATGGTATTATCGTCTCGAGGAATCACTTGGAGGCAGGAGGCAATTCCATGGAGCAAAGGAGATGTTGTTGACTGACCACTATGATGTGCAGAGTGCTCACACCATTGAACGGAAGTGCATTGTTCATACTTTCAAGAACTACACTAAGCTTAAGAATGTTGGGGCTGAGGACAACTATTGCAGATTCAAATAAAAAGCTGCTACGGGAGCCTTTACGCCTGACCGAGTTTCTGTGTGAGTACTATGACGTGAATTTTTCTTATTCACAATGGATTCTTTTTTTAAAGGTACTGCAAATGTGAGATGCCGTACAACCCTGATGATCTCATGGTGCAATGTGAGGACTGCAAGGACTGGTATGTCATTATATGCTTCCTTTTAGGATTTCTTGGTGCCACATGCCTGGTAATTTTGTAAGATTGCTGCAATTTTTATCCTTGATGTTCCTTTAGTTATCATCCTGCTTTTGTAGGCATGACAATTGAAGAAGCCAAAATGTGAAAATCTGTGTGTTTTGAATGTTCCGAGGATGATCTCAAAAGAACTTTGAGATCATACATTTCTGTATATTGTAGAAATTGTTTGCTTTGCCCCAACTGGTGGTTATTAGTATTTTATGTGTAGGAGACATCACAAGTATATGTATTAGGTTTAGGAGATTAAGTTCGTTCTGGAGAATCAATCGTATGTAGTTCTCTGACATTGAACTGATATGGTTAACACGAGGTAGTGCAAGATTGATCAACTGTAATAATGAAAACTTGTCAGCTTAGTTTATTTCTTTGAAGCAATGCGCCTTTCATGATGGGTTTGGTGTGAAACAGCATTGGCTAAACATGAACCTCCTGATTTAATCTTGATTACTACCAGATTTAATTTGAATCTAAGAAGAAAAACGAAGGTAACTGACACAATTCTTCAAGTGGGGATTCATTTCCATAAAAGAAACAGCTTTAATCACGTTAACAGAGGATGATAACCATTTGTTTTGCACTTAACTCATGAAAGAATTCAAAGCTTGTCATTTCCTTCTAAACACAGAATGCCCCACAAAAACCATTCATGTCCTTGCATAAACGTGGCCAAGGGGGTTGATTCATCGGCTGTATTGAATTTCGCAGTTATCCTTCTCTTTCATCTTCTCGCGATGAGTTCCATTTCATCCATTGTAGAAGAGAGATCGATATATTTGATTTTAATGGAAGGAGAACCAGTAGCATTTCATGGCAACTTAAGAAGATTTGAACCCGATAGGTTACGAAAAACATCATGTTTTGCAGCTGTATCATGTTTCATCTTCATCATTGATCTTAGTATTATGTTGTTAGTAATTTGACAGTGCTTGCACTCTGTATGAATGATTAGTGAAGCTTCCAAAGATCATGCAAAGAAGTTGGTGGATTCTCATGATAAAGTTCTTCAAAGCACTTTAGATAAGGGAAGCTATAACAAGCTATGCAGCTTCAAACATGTTCTTAATGGCTTTGCCGTCCACATGACACCATCTCAGGTTGTTTCCTAGTACTTTGTTTCAGCCATCATTTCGTTGTCTCGAACTATAATTGCTATGAAAATTCCAGGCTAAGAAACTACAACATGCTTCGGGAGTGAAGTTGGTTGAAGGAGATAGAAGAGCCAAAGTGATGACTACTTACAGTCCTCAGTTCTTGGGGTTAACACAAGCTGTTTGGACTCAAGGAGGTGATTGAAACGCAGGAGACAGGATTGTTATCGGTTTTGTCGACACGGGGATTAACCCTCTTCATCCAACTTTGCTTATGACATAATCATATAACATCCAATATCTCTCTTTTTTCTGGTGCATGCGAGACCGGTCCTCGATTCCCTACCGTTTTCATGCAATGGCAAGATAGTTTCCGCCAGGTTTCTTAGCTGGAGCTCAAGCACTGGCTCCTCTTAATGCTACAATAGACGTTCCTTCACCAGCTGACGTGGTTGGCCATGGAAGGTAATTTATGAAACAAAAAAGGTAGTGTCATAACCATTTTTTTCA